AACAAAATCCCCTTAGATCATGACTGTATGGACCTAAACGTTTTAAGCAAGCCTCATTTTCTTCAGTATACAAGTGCCATTGCTGTCAGTTTTAGGAGTAGATTGTCTGAACATTATTTTGCTATATAGCTTCAATGTCTTTGTCTTTGTCTTACGATTTTAACCTACTTGTGTACATGTATGTCGGGGACGGCCCCACTGGAAATAAACTCTCGAGCTTTTGTGGGTTATCCTGTTCAAGCTGGCTGAATTTTTGATCTGTTATTATTTTTCATTGTTGTATGTTGGAAGCTTGGCGAATACAAATCAATCAATCAATCAATCAATCAATCACTCCATTTGTGCCAATGTTTATAAGCTGCTCATTGCCGGCAAACAGTGCCACTTAATTTCCCCATTGATGTATACCATACGATCCCTATATCTGCATGCGTACCACAACTTCCACTTTAGAAATTAATGTACATGTAAAGACACGTATGTATTATATCACAAACGTATGTGTATGGAAACAAAAATGATAAACTAAATTTGCCCATTGTTTCGGACCTCGTAGCTTTCATGGAAATCAAAATCTGGACGTCGATGAAAAGTTTGAGAACCCTTGATGGCTTGATCTAATACAAAATATGAATACATTAATGCCAGACTACAGACTAGCTCAGATTAGCGTAGATTTGTTTTCTTCCCTTCAGTTCTTTCTTCTGCTTCCAACTTTCCATTTAATTTGAATTGGGCGTAAGCATTCCAATAAAAACTAAAACAACAAAACACAATAAAAATAAAAGAAGGGGAATTCCCCGTAAATGTGCCGATGGTGCGCATGCGCATGCGCACCCATGCAAATAGTTTCGCCTATGCTGCTTCATCATTTATTGGACTTCCTTGATCATGAATTCTGATTTCATTGCCTTGGCTTGTACTAGAAGTTTTGCTGGTTTTCTGTGGCAGGATTCTTAAATGAGCATTTTCCATCGTTATAATAGGTCGTGTAGATCGATAGACCCACTGAATAAAAAATATAATAGCTGTTGAGTGTTGTTGGAATTTTACTTCCACTGCACGAGATCGAGATCAACATCATCGCACCATTAAGCGTACGTCTTGTTCGGAGGAGCTGGACCGGCCCGGCCGGCCGGCCCTGCCCTGCTAAGTAGGTACGTAAATGCTAACGAAAGCAGTCTCTGATAAGTGATGGGTCATTCCATGGGCCCAGATGGGGTAAGGTCAATTTTTGTGACATACCAGAAGTGAGAAACTATGTCTCCTATCATTGTATCAAATATAATAATTAATGTTTGCTAAAATTGAGTTTAGCATAAAAAGCATAGCCAACTATTTTACAAGTAAGTTCAAATAGCTCAAGCTTCATGGAGAATCAATATTATAGACCCAAGGCCAAACTAGTTTATGTAATCACTGTTGTAATGTTATTGAATATGATGTCATGTAACGCTGGTAAAAAGAGAAATGTGTATTAGGCAAAGATTTTGAAGAGAAGCAACTGTAACAAGAATGATTCTGGCAGGGCACTGCAATATACATTCATTGCAATTTGCATACAAGTCTTCAACAGAGGATTTCATCTTCCATGTGTAGTAGAATATCTTGTACCAACGTTACATTGCATGGCATCATCATATTTTTGCCCCAACCCCATGAAATGATCCTGATATCAAATGTTGTTCCACCTGGCCGGCTCCACCGACTGCCTATAGTCTATGAGGAAGCCGGGTTAACAAATGACGGTTCTTTCTGTATACTAGATAATTAATTTGGACCACACCTCTGATCAGTCAATCCGTTAAAGCTGATATTCTAAGCAAATTAATGTCCCTTAATTTGGTACCTACGGCAAGCATATGTTATTCATAAGTTTTTCAATTACCTAGTATATCACAAAAAAATTCTGGCTACTCGAAATCCTTAATTGAAATGTCGAAAATATCCGCCTCTCTTTGCATAGCAAATCAGTCACAGCGCTGGTCTACTATATATGACATCACGTCCGGGAAAGAGTATATTCACGTACCCGGATGTTCCATAGAAAGCATGTGCAGAGAGATACGATTTTCTGCTTATTTTGTTTCAACGGCTGAAAATCCTAATAAATCATAATTCTATATACAATTCTTTACCTTCCCCTAATACTTCATAGTATTAATATCAATTCCCCTTTTAAAAATTATGACCTAATATCCTAACGATGTGCTATTAGTCGATATTTTCACCATGTAATTTTTGTTTTGGTGTTGAAATCGGCCCAGGCATGGAGTGAACAGTAGCTGTCTGGTAAGTGCACCCATGCACAGTTCCCATACAGCGATCTCCAGACTTACTTCTTCCTTTCTCCCCATGTCTTTCGCTTTCCTTGCAGGCCCTGAAGATCCTTCATCTTCTTCCATAAATATGCTGTGCATTGTGCGATATCTACCAATTCTGACACCAGTATAGTCACTGAGGAGCAGGTCTTTGTTAGTTGTTTTTCTTAGCTGGTAACGTCGCTTTCATTCTCTTGCAATTGCCGATAAACAATGACTAGCGCACGTACGTTCCATCACAAGCAAGCTGCGCCTAGAGCAGCGGCCTGGTCTTACCTCCCGATTCTGCTCGCTTCACGAACGTTCGTGCAAGAGCTGCATCACTCGCGGATGGAATATCGTTCGAACATTAGACATTGTCCAAATTATAGAGGAAGCGCGCTTGCATGATCTCGTGCAAGTTTGATATTTTACAACATAAAATGTTTAAAGGGAAGCTTTACTACTTCAGCCAGAAGGGATTAGACCAAACAGCGAGCCAGCGAGGTCACTGTGACAGGTGGCTATCTCATTAACTCAGCTCTCATTTAACATAAGAAAAAAAGGATCATGGGGGACCAATAGGCACCGATTGGGGAAGTTTTCTATATACATGTAGAGGGAGCAAGTAGCTACAAGTAGGAGTACTGTATACTTTTTTTGAGGTAGTCACACACATCTATGATAAGTACTATCATAGCTCTATAGCCTATTCGTTTTACAAAACTGCACCTGTACCTTATCTGATGAAAAGATAATGCATCCGCCAATTCATATGTGCATGATTTAACCTTGTTTCCCAAGCAGTAAACTCGTCTTAAATCTCTTCCAAATAGGTGAATATGAGGATATAAAAAGAAATCAGCGACTGGAAAAAATGTGTCTGGAATGCAAAATTAGGCAAAGTAATTAGTGATGTCAATGAATTAAAAGTTCTTAATCTTATGAAAGATTTTTTAAATAAATGTACATCTATGTTGCATTCTGGACTTGTCTTCTCATGCCTCTACATTGTGTAAGCAAGCTCTCTCTCTCTCTCTCTGCATACATTTAAAACAAAAGTTTCTCTTCCCAACTAAAATCTTGTAAGAGGCCTGCTCAACATAGATTAGCAACAACTAATGTTTGTGAAGTTGATTCCATTTATAGGAAGAGAGAGATTCCATAAATAGGCGAGGGCAATGGCTGGTAACCACCAGGAGCCTGTGTCTCAAACTGTTGTAAGGATAAGATCACTTACATCTCTTTGAAACATGTGATGAATTACTTTTATTCCTAAGACTAAGAGGCCTTTCCTATTTATCAATATTTTTATCCACAGACTGCTCAGTTCTACACTTATGGATGCTATTGTGATTGTGATTGAAAGGTAAACTACAGCAGGAAGAATTGGGGTGAGATACTAGATGGTATTTCACTTTCAAGCCCTCTGATTGCAGTCTTATAATCCACCTCCTTGTGAAATTACACTGAATACAGCTTTTAGTTGGTGAAGAATAGTGACAGAATGGCTGGCAAGTTTGATGGAGATTGGACAAAGGAACTGTCTCTGCCTCTGGAAGTAGAAAGCTGTCCAAAGCATAGTGGTTTCACACTAGACTATGTTTGCAAGCAATGCCAGACAAATGTATGTGTAAGCTGTGTAGCCTGTGATCACCATGACCATGAACTTGAAAGTTTGAAGTCTCAAAAAGTACAAATATCAGAACACAGGGAAAATCTTGAAAAAATTGAAAGAGGTTTGAAGGCTAAAGAAGAACGGAAATCAGAACTCAAGAAAAATCTTGAAAAAAGGTTAACAGAAGTGAAGGTCATGCAGAAGCATTGCAAGGAATGGTCGCGACAGATACATGAAATAACTGAAGAAAAGTTATGTTTCATTGACCAAGAAAGTGACAGGAGGAGATCATCAGTAATACTGGAGAGAAATGACTTTGAGAGGCGTGCCAAAAGCATGACAGATTCTCTAGAAAAAGAGGAAAACAATATATACGCCCTTGCATATTCCTTAAAGGCAAACCCTTCGGAAGACATTCAGGAGGAATCGGAAGAGTGCACCAGCGCCCAGCTTCCTCGGGTTAAGACATATAATAATTTAAAAGTGAAATTCGAGAGGATGCAGTCTCCTAACCGATTTTCATCTTCAAGCACTACAACCCTAGGAGAATTGGCAAGTTCTTCTGCTTTTGAACCCTCTACATCGACATGTAGAAGGTGGCCTAGCGAGGTAAGAATTAGAAGATTGAGCTCACATCAGTTTATTTTTATGTTTGTCTGACAAAGAGGTAGTAATAAGAGAAAAATTAAATGGATTTCATTGTGAGTAAGGAAAGCCAATCAGATTCATATCCTTCTAAAGAGGAGTGAGACATTTTAAAGAAATTTTATCAATTCTGGAAAGCTGGAAAAATGAGTTACAAAAATGTTACAAAAATTTCTACAAGAATTTTGGAAGAACTTACTTCACTTAGTTATCCTAGGAGAAGGTTGAAAATAAAATAACATGTCACTACATGTTCAGTAAATTTGGTTATTTGTTCTAATGCCAAAATCAGTTTGGAACTTTGAAACACAATGATAGCAATAAGTATTACCAATAAATGATGAAGATTTAAACTATAGAAGCTAATGCTTCTAACAAACTATACAGACTCAATATTATGATTCTCTGCTTAATCCGAACCAGGGACTTGACAGAGAGCAAGCTCAGGGAGCTGTGGAAATGGAACATAGTAAAGATGCATCAGATCTACAAGGAGATATGGACACATGCAGTGGCAGCGATTGTGGGGAGTTGGGTGCTGAAGGAGGGCTAGCATTTAAGATTGATAGAGAAGGAGTTATCAAAGGACAAATGAAAGAAGATGAAAAAGGCAATGATGCACACTCTGGAAAAGATGATGTAGTTCTCTCTGACCTGGCTATGCATCTCCTACCTGAAAATTTAACACCACTGGGCCTCCGCTTAGGGTTATCCAACATTATCATCAACCAAATTCGATTTAATAACCCTTTGAGCATAGGTAATGCTATCTACCAGGTGCTTCAGGAATGGAAAGGAATTATATGTGCTGGATGCTTGACTGAGGAACATTTTAAGACGCTGGAACAATGTCTCCGGAAGATTGGGCATGAGGATGCAGCTGACTGGCTGATAGAGAGTAAGAAACACAAACACAGAAAATGCCATGCACAATTCAAATAATACCGGTATATGTACAGTGCGTCCAAGAAAAAAGAAACCGTGAATTATCAATGTTTTATTATACCTTAACCACTTTCATTTAATGCAACTCATATGATGCATATTTCAGGCATGAGTAATTAAAATCAATTTAAAGAAAGGTTACCCAAAAGTCATTTGACGAACCGTATCTGAATTTCAAAGAGAAATTCACATTTCTAATAAGTTCATTTTCTGCCCTTTTATATGACACCTCAATCAGGAAATATGAGCCAATGCAGGGATAACTAAGTTCTGTTTCTTTAAAGTAATGCTTGATTTCCATAATTTTATTAAACAAATTTGTTTTCACTGGCTGCTCTGTTTCGTTGGGAAAAAGACAGAGCTTTAAAAGGCTCTATATAATTTGACCAGGATTGGTCTTATTATTTTAGAACTACTTTTAGACTTTCATGAAGTAAAATTCAATGGCATGAGTTTATCTTGTCACTGCCCCCCCCCCCCCCCCCCCCCATGCAAACATAAATGCTCATGATAATAATAATACTGATTATAGTAATGATTATAATGACAATGAACTTTAACAAAATGAAACATGTGTTTAGATTACATATATGTGTGCCTTTTTAATGTTGTTTTTTTGTTACAACTTTCATTTTGTATCAGGATTGCATAAGTCTACAGACCAACTTGGGCAGCCTTCCCCATCTCCTGGCCAACTTGTGCAGCCTGCTTCCTCAGACTCACAGTAAGTCACGGCTTACTTCACTACCTTCATCACCATGCAACCCACTCCTTTCTGGAATTAAGGGGGTATATAAATGACTCCTACTAGACGTGTATTTTTAATATGTTTTTTTATAAATGTTATGTTTCCTGGGAGAAATTTCAACTAATTAAACATGTTTGTGGCTTGCACGCAAATAAGACCGATCGATCTGTAATTGAAAACAAGTCAGAAAAAAATGTGTAGAACCAGCGAGACTTGAACCTATATAAAAGTTATCACTGACATATTCAAACATGGAAAATACAAAAAGAGAAACTTGTATTAGCTGGTGAATTATATAACTATTACTCATTACTATAAGCGATTAAACTTGCACAAAATTAAAGCAGAATTGCTCCATTTTGGGCCATTTATTTTGTCATATAGGCACCCCATTTTACATGCATGCCCGGTATCCATTGTTGTGTGTGTGTTTATATAGAAGAAAGTCTAGATTTCTGCTCTGGAGTTATTATGCATCAAATATGCGCATCCTATATATATAAAGTTATATATATATAAAGTTGTATATGTATACAGGTACATGTATATAACTTTAATAAGACGATCGTTTAATGCTTTATTGCGATTTGATGAAATAAAGTTTCTACAATTAGCAGAAATGCAATTTAGAATATTTTCTTTTAAAGGGATTGGGTATCTTTCTCTCAGATGCTAAACAAATAACTTACTTACTTTGATGTTTACTTTAATGTTGAAGCGTAAAGATAAACTTTGCCCCTCCAGGTAATGCTATCTCTCTGGTATGGACTGTACTTAAGGGGTGGCTGTACCAATATTTCCCAAGGATGGATTTGAACTGATTTACACTTGTTGCTCTGACTGCTGAGTCTGTTAAGAAATTCCAGTTGTTGCAACTTCACACAGAGAAGGAATTTTGAAGAAGCACAGATTTACACTTTGGCTTCCTTACTTTCATACTGTGGCCTCATACTGTCCACCCGGTCAATTCCTTTCATAATCTTAAAGATTTGTATCAGCTCAGCTCTCTGTCTTCAGTAAATGAGCGTCTCTAACCCGAGGGCTTTCAATCTCTCATGGTATTTTAGGTGACGAAGATGTGCGAGTTGATGGGTAGCTCTTTTCTGCACCCCGAGTTGTAATATTCAAGAGTAGGCCAGATAATGGTCTTGTAAAGCATATCCTTTTTCATTCAGATTTGAAAAGGTTCTCTTTATAATACCCAACTTGATGTTGGCTCTTCTTGCTACATCTGCCACATGATCTGAGAATGATAGTGCAGAGTCAAAAGTTAATCCCCCAACCCCCCCCCCCCCCCCCTCACCGGAATGACCGCATGCGTGTTACCAAAATGTCCGGTAAAGGGGTACTTTTCACGCACCAAAGTCTGGCTTGTACATACACAAAATTGACTTTACACTCCGGACTTGGGGGTGTTTTCAAAAGGAGGGAACACGCATATGCGTACCCTAAATAACACTAAGTTATTTGCTATGGTGTTTTGTAGTCACATTTCGGGTTACGCCTCCCATAATGAATGACCTTGCGTTTTTAGACATTGAATTGTAATTGCCATTTCTCAGCCCATCTCAAACATCCTGTTGAAGGTTTTCAGCATCACTTCTGTTTTCCACAACACTATAGATTTTTGTATCGTCTGCAAATAATTTAATTCCTGATGTATTGTTACATTCTCAGGCAAATCGTCAATGAAATAGAGAAATAGGACAGGGCTGAGAACACTTCCTTGCGGAATTCCGCTGGATACTGGGCATGATGGTGATTGTTTACCATTAACTGTCTGATACTCTTTGTGATCGTCCTGTCAAGTACCCTTTTATCCAGTCATGGATATGTCCTGAAATACCATTGGCTTGTAGCTTAACAAGGAGATGTTTGTAAGGGACATTGTCAAATACCTTCCTGCAATCTAAATAGATGCAGTCGATACTATGGCCGTTATCAATTTTTGCTGTCCATTCTTCAAGAACCTCAAGAAGTTGGGTAGCGCAGGACCTGCCAAATCGAAATCCATGTTGATGATCGTCCAATAGGTAATTGTTCTCTAGATGCTCAATCAGAGCCTTTCTCACAATTCTCTCCATGATCTTGCACACTATCGATGTCAGACTGACTGGTCGATAGTTTGTTGGATCGTTTTCCTCCCTTTCTTGAAGAGTGGCACCACAATAGCCTCCTTAGTTTGTATTCTGACTATTGAAATACTATTATTCTTATCAGGTGAATGAAATAGTTTGTATCATGGCACTTAATTCACTTGCCAGTGGGGCGTCATTGAGAACGCTCGTAGATTTGGCCAAAATCTGTTCTGGATTTCAGTACCTCAGCAGTCACCCCACTGTTACTATAGTAGCTTCTCGATTTTGCACACAAATCGCAGATTCTCTGTCCGTGTTGAGCTTGCGAAAACTCCCTATTGCCGAATACTTTACCGATCATCAGATTCCAAGTAAAGTGATCATTCACAACGGAAAAGCCAGCACACAAACAAATCACAGTTCTAGCTCTCTCAGCTCTTTGTGTTCAAGTGACCTTTGGAAAAGTTTGTTCCCGAATTTATATCAATTACGAACTGGCTTATTACCTTCAATTGCCAATTCTCGGGGTGGGAGTTCGGTGTAAAAATTGTGAGAGCTAAAAATGTCAGATGTAAAAATGCAGAGGTATTACAGTATTAGTATTTTACATGGCGAAAACTTGTCGTTTAAAATTGAAACCCCCATTTGACTTTCACCACTACTACTAAGGGTGCGTTCAATCGAATTTTCGAAGCTAGAATCACAAACATGAATCACAAATCAAAACGCTGTTACAAAAAACAAGGTCACTGCGGTTAGCGTTCAAGCGATTTTTTTGGGTCCAGACAACTCGCCACAAAGACAACCCGCCCCAAGACAACCCGCCACAATACCCTGGACATCCCGCCACAATACCCTGGACAACCCGCCACAATACCCTGGACAACTCGCCACAGCCTTTTCGGACAACTCGCCACACTTTTTCCCATCATGATTTCTAGATCTAAAATGAAATGAAATTGTCATTTTTCATGATTTTCGTGCTTTTATAAACACAGTCATTACAAAGAATAAAGAATAAAGTTGATTTCCCTAATTGTAACAATAATATATATTGAAATGAAATTGTCATTTTTCATGATTTTCGTGCTTTTATAAACAGTCATTAAAAAGAATAAAGTTGAATTCCCTTGTAACAATAATATACTTTTGATCTAGAGGTCTATAACAGCTGCATTTTTCTGTCCCAGAATTTTTTTATGGTAGGATACTGGAAGCACTGGCGTACTGATGGGGGGGGGGGGGGGCAGGTAATATTAGAATGTAAAGATACGCCAAAGATACATAGCAGCATATTCCTACCATTAAAAAGTTTCCTGAGACATGAACTTAAAAATCGTAGTCGTAACTCGTAGTCGGATACGGAGTCGGGCTAACTCGGCCCACGGGACTACTCGGCCCAGCTGGAAAAACTGGGCCGAGATGTCCCGACCTGATTAATCGATCGAGAGATACCAATGTGTATATGTTTGTGCTCTTTGTGACTTAATAATGCCCTTTCCAACCAAAATCTTTAATGGAATTGTGTTAAATGATACCAATGAAGACAATTTATAACTTATCTTTAGGTAAAATGACAAAAAAAATGACATTTCGGATAATTTACTCACAGCTCGCAATCCGCATTGCCGCACGTACATTAAATGTGCGTTGTATCTACTCGGACCACTGAAATTCGAGCAGTGTTTTCGTCGGTAAATCACTGCAAAAATATCATTTTTATCTCGTATGAAGGTCTATTTTTTATTCCTGACACAGATTTCATTATTGAGAAGTCGAATATAGTACATTTTAGATGAGATGGTTGATGTTTGTTCACATTCTTTCGTCCTGGCCGTAAATTAGCAGACTACTGCCTAGTGCTACCGCAGCAGCTCAGCTCAGTGTGCAGCTAGCCGTACAGCGCCGCCGGCCGGGTCGGCGGGGGAATTCACTGACTCGGCGCCCGTACCGGGCCGCTGCACTGCATTGCATGATTGTACTGCCCAATTTGATCGAGTGATGTGAGTATAACTAATCAAACTAGATCTATATCTACTGTATTATCATTATTCATTCCGAGTAGAATATCCAATTTGATTTAGTGAGTAAACTAGACCTAGATCTATATCTACTGTAGCTACATCATTATCATATACTAGATTAGTCATTCAGAGTAGAATATTTGATTAATGAAGGAATGGAATTTTTCTTTTTCATAATCAGATAATCATATTTTACTCCTAAAAGTTAAAGACTTGATAAATAGCTAGATCTAACGTAAGGGCCTAGCCTAGTACTGTAAGAGAAGTGAGCTGAAGAATCGCCTTCTTCTTTTATTTTGGAGGGGCAGGCGCGTAGCCAGGGGGGGGGCAGTGGGGGCGGTCGCCCCCCCCCCCCCCAAAAAAAAAGAGAAAAAAAGAAAAAAGGAAGAGGACGTAGGAAGAAAAAGGATTAAGAGTCGAGAACGGTACAACGAATCGTCTTCTTTCTCTAATTATTTAATGAAACATCAAAGCTTTCGCGCTTCGCACGAGAAGGGGGGGACAAAACTGAATTCAGGTAAGGATAAAGAGTCGAGATCGGTACAACGAATTGTCTTCTTTAGTAATTTATAAAACGTAAATGCTTCCACGCTTCGCGCGGGAGCGGGGAAACTGAATTCAGACAAGGATCTAGAGTCGAGAACGGTAAAACGAATCGTCTTCTTTCCCTAATTATTTAATGAAACATCAAAGCTTCCGCGCTTTGCGCGGGAAGGGGGGATGGAACTGAATTCAGGTAAGGATAAAGAGTCGAGATCGGTACAAGGAATTGTCTTCTATCTCTAATAATTTATAAAACGTCAATGCTTCCACGCTTCATCCATCCCTCTAATCATCAATATCGTCTTCATCCCTTACATCATCAAAATTGTCTCCATC